TTAAGGAAGGGAGGCATAGGCACTTGTGTCACTTAGAATCTAGTGCCCAGTGTTGCCACAGCATAAGAAAAAACCTTAAGCATCTACTCTGTAATTAACATTAATCACACTAAGAAGAATTCTCCCTATCTCTTGTTCCACGTACTTGAAACAAAAGGTAAATGCATCCAATGTCATGAAGGTTTGTGAGTTATGTTGCTAATGAAACCAAACACTACTGGGGAGTACAGGGAGAATTTGAGCAGCAGAAGTGCTTAGTAATAGAAAAGACAAATGAACTTGTCAAAGCCTTCCTCTCTCAATAGCAATAGTTTCTTTCATAACCATTAGTAAACAGCATGGACTTTCTTGCTTCTCTTTATGCTCCAATTCATGGTTCCTTGATATGTGATATGTGGGCCTCCATTCGTGCTCTTGCCCTAGGCCAGGCAAATATTAAAAGCTGGTTTATAACAAGACATGGTGGCTGGCACATGTCTATAATCCCAGTGACAAAGGGAGGATGAGGCAGAAGAATCACAATTTCAAGGCCAGCCTGGGTCTCAAGATAAAAATTAAAAATATAAAAGCCTTGGAATATAGCTCAATTGTAGAGCAACCCTAGGTTTAATCCCCATTACCTTAAAAAATATATATCCATATATGTAAAGTTCATAATTTTGACCCATTCAACAACTTCTAGCAATTTATCCTAAGGAAAAATTTAGGCATTTACACAAAGATTATAAGGATATATATATACATGTTTATTTGTAGAAGCAAAAACCATAGAATCAATATCTAACAATAGGAAAATAAATGAATTATAGTATTTTCAAATGATACTAAAGTATTTCTTATACAATCATTAAGAATGAGGGGCTGGGGTTGTTGCTCAGTGGTAGAGTACTTGCCTAGCATGCGCGAGACACTGGGTTCAATCCTTGGCACCACATAAAAATAAAAAACAAAAATTAAAATAAAGGTATTGTGTCCATCTACAAGTAAAATTTTTTTTCCATTTTTTTATTGATTGTTCAAAACATTACAGAGCTCATGATATATCATCTTTCATACATTTGACTCAATTGGGTTTTGAACTCCCCAAATACATATTGCAGACTTACTTCTGTTACATACTCACATTTTTACATAATGGCATATTAGTGACTGTTGTATTCTGCTACCTTTCCTATCCCCTACTATCTCCCCTCCCCTCCCCTCCCCTCCCATCTTCCCTCTCTACCTCCTCTGGTTCAATTCTCTCCCTTTTCCCCCTCCCCCTTGCCCCTCATAACCTCTTATAATTTTGTGTATCACTGAAGGTCTCCTACCATTTCCATATGCTTTCCCTTCTCTCTCCCTTTCTCTCCCCCCATTCGTCTTAGTTTACTGTTAGTCTTTTCCTCATGCTCTTCCTTCCTGTTCTATTCTTAGTGGCTCTCTTTATATCAAAGAAGACATTTGACATTTGTTTTTTAGGGCTTGGCTAGCTTCACTTAGCATAATCTGCTCTAATGCCATCCATTTCCCTGCAAATTCTACGATTTTGTCATTTCTTAGTGCTGCATAATACTCCATTGTGTATAGCTGCCACAATTTTTTTATCCACTCATCTATTTTAAAAAAAGAAAGATTGTGTTTGGACTGGGATTATAGCTCAGTGGTAGGGAGCTTCCCTAGCACAAAAGAGGCGCTGGATTTGATCCTCAGTACCACATAAAAAGAAAAAAAAATAATGAATAAATAAATAAAAGTATTGTAAAAAAAAAAGAATATTTTGATTGGGCTGGTATTGTAGCTCAGTGTTTGTGCTTGCCTAGCATGTGCAAGGCTCTATGTTCAATCCCCAGTACTGCAAAAATAAACAAAAAGAAGCAATGTGTTTTTGCAGTTGTCTAATGACAAGGAAAAATTCTAACAAGTGAACAAAAGCAGGGGGCTGGGGATATGGCTCAGTTGGTAGAGTGCTTGCCTTCAATCCCCAGCACCACAGGGGGGAAAAAAGAAAAAAAAAAGAAAAGAAAAAAGCAGTCATAAAGAAAGGAAAAAAGCCCCTGACTAATAGGGGCTGGGGTTGTGGCTCAGTGGTAGTGCACTTGTCAAATATGTGTGAGGCACTGGCTTGGATCCCCATCAACACATTAAAAAATATACATAAATAAAGGTATTGTATCCACTACAACCAAATAAAAATAAGAATTTTAAAAATTGACTAATAGGATCAGATTTTGTAAAACTAATTTATGTACATTTTGTTCATAGGGAGGGAATTAAGAAAAAGATTGGGCGGGAAATGTGGCTCAGTGGTAGAGTGCTTGCCTAGCATGCATGAGATTCTGGGTTAAATCCCCAGAACCACCAAAAAAAAAAAAAGGTTAATGATAAAATTGACCAATATAAATTTAAAATGTTCATGTCTTCACAGTGAGGATCATGAATTATTTTTCCTTTTATTATAGAATTTGTGCATTTTATAATGAATATGTATTATTTCCATTATCATATAATTTGAAAGAAAAATATTTTATATAATGATCAGTTGTTGAACTATGAATTGGTTTCCCAAAGTGGTCATTTTACTGCCATATTCAATGTAGGATATCTGGAGAACAAATTACAAAGACAAACATTTTATACTTTAGTGTATTCTTTCCAGTCTTTTTTTAAAAAAAAATATATATATATATGAAAAAAATTCCTCTCTTCTCTAACAAATCCTACTGTTGACTACACAACATTGAGCCCATTGAGAGCAGTGTCTATCCCTCATCTGTCCATGTATTCCTACAATGTCTAACTCACTTGTGTACACCTTGTAGGTACTCAGTAGTTTATAGGATTCATAATCAGAAAAAAAGTCTGAAATTCTTCCATCACAAGATGGAACGGAAATCCCATCTGTTTCCCTCCCTTACACACAAAGATGCATTAGGTTCTCCTGCACAAAAAAATATTGTGCTGGGGGAATATATATTGTTTTTTTAATTTTTAAAATTTATTTTTTCTGGGGCTGGGGATGTGGCTCAAGCGGTAGCGCGCTCGCCTGGCATGTGTGCGGACCT